GAAACGAGTGAAACACTTTTATTTTGAAAGAGTAAAAGTGATATGCATTTAATTCAGTTGAGAGACGATTAAATTTAGCATGAGTTTGATAAATTGGTCTACTAGCAATGCAAGGTGAAATTTTGTATTAACCCGAAAACAACCAAACAATCTTGGTGAACACAATCTTGATTAATTCTCTCTATTAACTCTTAGTTAATCATACCGTTGATTGTTACATGTTACATAGTGACCAAAAAGAAATCCCATACGTTCCCATTTGTTCTGAAAATAAGTAATTAATGATAAATAACCGCATATTGCTTAGTTCTCATCTTATTCCCTATGAGATTTGCTCCCAACCTAGTTTGGTTCTATATTTGACAAACTGTGTTATACTTCTATAAGGAGGTATAATTTAGGCGTATCAACAACCCAGAATCTCCTCCTTCTCTTTGTGCCTCTCCAGCTTTGTGACCAAGTAAATAAGATTTTTCTAGCACACATTATATACTCATATTTAGAAAATATTTCTATAGAAGCAGCTACTAATCCCCACATTTTCTATACAAAAACAATAAAGTTAGTTAAAATTTGTACGGATCCTAGCTCTAGTACCGAAGTGGATCCTCATTGATCTGGTTTGAGACCATTGCATTCTAATTGTGGTGGCAAATTTTACTATATTTATCTTTTTTATACAGTACTTTCTCTATTTCATATTAATTGAATTTTTGGATTTTTTTCATTATTTAAAATAATTGAATTGTTTGAAGTTTAAAATGGATGTTTGAATTTTTTTCATATATACCCTTTCCTTTAATTAAGTTTGATATTTTGTAAGAGATAAATTGTACTATTTACAAAATTATATTTATGATTTCACAAAGGACAATAGTGAAAAATATGATTTAAATTATAATTCTTGAATATTTTTCTTAATAAGTGTACATTGCTTCACAAGTTCAATTGATATGAAATAGAGGGAATATTTGTTATTATCAGGTTGTGTCCTTAAATTCTCATTTTCATATTTGTAGTAAATGCTCTTTGACTAGTCTTTAGGAGGTGGATTTTGATACTTGTGTTTATTTGGGCTCTGAGACATTATCTTCTTATTATTGAGGATTGTAGGTTGAACTGTTGCTTGGTTTACTATAGAGATATTATGATGTTCTTGTTATAGGGCAAACTCTGCCAAAAATAAATTATTGATATTTGGTACTCCCTCTATTTTATATTAATTGAATTTTTGGAGAAAAAAAATTCATTATTCAAAATAATTAAATTGTTCAAAGTTCAAAATGGATGTTTGAATTTTTTTTTCATATTTATCCTTTGCTTTAATGATGTTTGATATTTTTAGGAGATAAATTGCACTAGTTACAAAATTACATTTATGCTTTCATGAAGAACAATAGTAAAAAGTATGATTTAAGTTATTTATTTGAATGTTTTTCTTAATAATTGTGCATTACCTCATAAATTCAATTAATATGGAACAATTACCATGGAATTGAGGAAGTACTGAAATGTTTTTCTTAATAAGTGTACACTGAAAGTTTGAAATGCATACTGGTTCGATTGACATTAGTTGTTCGTTTAAGAGCATATTTGACATTGTTGTTGGGAGACCAGAAGCACTTATTTTGAGAAAAAAGTACTTTTGTTGACAAATTATGTGCTTGGCAAATCAGTAAAAGTGATTTTAAATAGAAGAATAATCAGTTTTTCTGCTGTCGGAGAGAAGCTAAATATTTGTGTTTCTTAAAAAAAGCAGAAAATTAAAATATCCCTTTCATATATATACATATTTACCAATACTAGTTTCAATGCACGTGTGTTGCACGTGAATATCAAACCATGTACTACATTTTAAAAAATAATGTCAATAATATCAAATAAAAAAATTAAATAAACATCTATAGATAGAATTATAAAGTATAAGTTCCTATAAATAGTGGATGTAAACTTTCTTATGATTACTACTGAAAGTTGTCAAATCAACATCCGAAAAAACCTATTACTATTTATAATATAAAGCTAGATATAGATAAGGTGATCTGACACTTCTTTATGGCCTCCATTTAAATTTTATTATTTTCCTTTTTTTTTAAAAAATTGAATTTTAAAATTAATTGTACTATGTAGAAATAAAAAAAAAAGCCACTCTTAGTTACACATCTTAAATATGATTTCTTTGCCCTCCCCTACAGTGCATTACTTAGTTATTATTGTACTGGTGGAGTTCTTACTTTTACTTCAATATAATAATACAAGTAAATATTTATATAAAATATAGAGAATATACTAAATTGGATGTTTTAGTTGGAGTATTATAATTAATATAATATTCTTGTTAGGGAGTGTTCAAATTCTAGTGATCTTTGAGATTCTCAACATCTGTAAATCACACTTGAGTTTTTAAGAAGAGAAGAATCGAAAATATTAAAAAATCGTAATTTAAAAATGTGAGGAAATCCCTCCATACGTAGTTTACAAAGGGTAGTATGAACATGTGTTTATTGTGCCTTACCATAAAGTCATAATCCTTTAGAAAAGTCACAATCCTTCGGAAAGGTCACAACTCATCGAAAAGTCACAACTCTTTGGAAAAGTCATAACAACTCATGTCAAAAGTCCTGATTTTTAATATAATATAATAGAAACAATCAAATATAATATAAATTATAGAATATATACTAAATTGGGTGTTTTAAGAAGAAAAACAACAATAGAAAACTTTAGTGTATAAAAAAATATTTATCGTGTCTTAGCAAGAAAAGTCACAGCCCTTGAAAAAGGTTACAACTCATTGGAAAAGTCGTAACTTTTTGGAAGAGTCACAACCTTTCAGAAAAGTCATAACTCTTCGAAAAAGTTGCAACCCTTTAGAAAAGTCACAACCCTTCGAAAGGTCACAACTAATCCGAGAAGTTATAACTCTTTGAAAATGTCACAACTCTTCAATGTGAAAATTTGTTTACTTTAATATAATATAATAAAATATACATATAATATAATGTAATAGAATGTAAAATATAAAATATATACTAAATTTGGTATTTTTAAGTTGGGGTGGGGGCTAGTACTATAATAATATAACATTTAAGTTAGGTAGTTCATATTTTATATATATAGAGAGAGAGAGATGAAAAGATAGATGTAGATTTGTCTAATTTTAATTTGATATGAAATTTTAAAATATAAAGATGAATATTAGTTTAAGGATATGTAGATATATAAAATATATTTTAACTTTGTGTTCTTTAACATGCCTCCCCCACCCCCTCCCCCACAAAAAAAACATTCTATATTAAACTGAATAAAAATAAAAGTAACAAATGAATTGGAAACGAAGGAGTACTTGTTAAATCTAGTTTGGACTCTTCAAACAAGTTTTTGATCAAATAATTTTTCACCAAGAGTTTGAGGCGTATCATAGCTTGAACACCAAGTTGTAGTTTGTGCAACAAAAAATCAGTGAACTTCTTGTCAAGTAGAAGTTGCTGCAAAAGTTTATTTATGACAATGAAAATGAATACATATTAATTGTCTAGATAATCTTCTCATTTGAAGTTGAGTCATTTCATTCTCCTTGTTGCATCAATTTTTGTTGATCTGTCTAATTTACCAACAAACAAATATTGTAATTGCGTAATTGAACAATTCTCACAACCATCCTTGTTTTGAGGAAAAGAATAAAAAACTTACAAAATTCGTAGTTTAAAAATGTGAGAGAACTCCTCTATTTATAGACAACAATTGTATGAAAAGGTCTTTATTGTGCCTTATCAGATAAGCCACAACCCTTTAGAAAAATCACAACCATTCGAAAAAGTCACAACTCTTTAAAAAAGTCACAATCCTTCGGAGAAGTCACTATCCATCAATGTGAAAAAGTGTCAGCTTTTAATATAATATAGAACAATTAAATTAATAAATATAATATGATAACATATATGCTAAATTGGGTGTTTTATGTTTGGGGTATTACAGTAATTTAACATTCAAGTTATGGAGTTCGTGCGTTTAAGGTAGTATAGAATAGATATCTCTTATTAATTAATCAATATATCTCATAAGTTTGGTTAAATTTCATTTACATAATAGATTTTATATTTTATTTTACGTTTAAATGTTATTTTATATTTTACATATTATTTTACGTATAATTTTAGAGAATTAGAAAAATAATAATAACAATATGTTGGTTAGGTTAGAAAAAAAAAAGAGAAAAAAATAACAATTAAAGACTTTAACCCTCCAAAAAGAGTATAATATTGATTGAAAATTTAAATATGTACATTTTAATTTAATAAAAATAAAAGTTGAAATAATTTTTATAATAGCTATTTAAAATAGTTTCTCTTTATAAAATAGTTTTAATATTAAAAGTGCATTGATAGTTGTCTTTTTTCGTAATTTAACTCTCAAAAGCATTTTTTTTAAAAGATCAATCAAACACAATTTGCTTGTAAAAGCATTTTTCAAATGAATTAGTCAAACACAATTGGTTTTTTTCAAAAGCACTTTTCTAAAAAGTCATTTTTAAAAAACACTTCTAAAATTAGTCGTTTTTAGCAGCAATGCCAACCAATCTAAGTGTCAATACCGGCCCTTGAATTTTGATGGTGACATCTTGTCTGGCAAGCTTTGCTGGAGTTAAATTAGGCAACACTACTTTTGCCTAAATAGACTGAGAGAATATAATTGCCACTGCCCCTCCTTATCTCTAGACTCAAGCTTCCACTCACTGAACATTTAAGGCTAAAATGAAAAGAAGAAAAAGATCCAAGCCCCACTTGAAGCAAAATAGTACCTTCATCCCTGCTACAGGCTAGTAAAATCAGAGCAAGGAATAGGTCCACTTTACTAGCATCAGGCAAGTACAAAATGTTAAAACTTTTTTCTCACGCATTTCACCTACACCGATACCAAAATAACTTTATCAAATCGAGACTTAGACAAATGTAAAGAAACCCACCAAATGGTTTTTGTCTATTCTAGGATTTAAACCATTCTCTCTAAGGTCTTCTTCGCCCATTTCATTGCCATTAGGCTACACCCGTGGATGCCGAAATGCACATGGCACCTCACTGATGGTAACTGACAAGGATTTTTACAATAACAAAGCAGGAGTACAAGGATTCTGTTTCAATTAACAGTACAAAAGGTTTAAGTAAGACTTCCGAGTAAATAATGGGCCTATGTTACTATTTTCCAAAGAAAAATGGGAAGAAAGGGGAAAAGGCTACAGAAGCTATCGGCCATTTGGAAAGACATTTTTTCTTGATTCCAATTCTCTCATACTTTTAACAATGCCATTAATGTTCTTTGACAGTTGATCTGAGTGATCCTCCATATCTTTCAAAAGCATATCTAGCTGCTCCTGTAAAGCCGCAGATCTTTTACGCTCCTTCTGTAACTCTGCTGTTAATTCCCGGATCTTGACATCTTTATCATCCTGAAATTGGTCCACCAAATATCAAGAACAGTAGACATGACACATTCAAACTATTGTTCCTAAAGAAGATGATCTTGACTAATAATAAGAGCAGAGGGGAAAGGGAAATGCAATGACAAAGCAACACTGTAAATCTTGGAAGAATTTCACAACTAACTTCAAGATTTTAACTGCAATCATGAATTTATTGAGCTTCCGTGACTGCACATAATTTTTTGGTTCAATTTACTATTTTTGCTAACTAAATGTATAACAAACTAATGTGTCATTTACATAACCGACAAACCCCTCTGGCACGACTTGACCATATGCATTCATTACTGAAAAGAAAAGCCTGGTATTTAAGTGGAGAAGGGTAGAGGGCGGGCCCATTATCCACCGAGTTTAGAAGGCTATGATTGGTCCAAAGGGCGGGTCACAGACGGATTTCTTGGTTATCAAAAAAAAAGCAGTTGCCACATGTCGAAAACCATACATGCAGAATGCGCAGACATCAGTAGGGAATCATTCTGGCCGTGTGACTTTCACAGTATTAAATGAGCAAGACCGCATGATCATACGAAGTCAAGTCTTTAACCTACCAGCCCAAAAGGGTCCGCGATTTTTCCACGAAATTCTGTTTTTAAGCACATTAAGTGGGATACTATTATATACCAGCATTTTCAAAAAGCTATAGAAAAAATTAAAATCAATGTGAACCAAAGACAGAACAAAATACAATATAAGCAAAAGAGTCATGTTGGTGACAGCCACTAGTTGAGACTAAGACTTAGCCATGTCGGTACACTTACATTATGTACGATCTTTGCCTGGAGTTTTTTTAGTTGGTTTAGAGATTTGAATACTAGTGCAAAGATGCAAGTTAAAAATATTCAAGCCAAGAGGAAATACCATATTTGAAGACAATCTTATTGCTCTTTGAAGCAATATCAGGTCACAAAAATCTATGCTAAGAGTCAGATTTTTCTGATGAACAAGGTGTCCAACATTAAAGAGTTGGCGAATTCACTCAAATGCAATGTGGGCAAATTACCAGATTAATTAGGTATGCCTTTGGTACCAATCATATAGAATACAATATTTTGTAACGGGTGATTGAAAAGTGTGAAATGAGACTAGCAAATTAGAAAAGACAATACTTATCCCAAAGGGAAGGTCGGTTCTAATTAATAGTGTTCTAGATGCACTTCCGACTTATACTATGTCACCCTTTCCCAAAAAAGAGGGCGGATAAGACAATTGATGAACTAAGGAGTGGTTTTTTTGTGGAAAGGAAACAAGAAGAAAAAGTCTCCTAATCTGGTTAAGTAGGAAGCGGCAATGCGGCTTGGAAGTCAAAACTCTAAGGGGTTGTTTGGTGTGATGGATGAAGAAAAATAATCCCGGGATAAGTTTTTAGTGCCCCTCAATTCTTTGTTTGGTTACAAAGTGTGGGCTAACTTATCCCACGATTAATAATTATGACTGGGATAAGTTATCCCTACTTGAGGGTGGAATACTAATCTCAGGATAACTTATCCCGAGATAAAAATATAAAATAACATAAGTATCCCTTAAACCCTCTTTTGAAAACAAATAACTTACTTTTAAAGGGTATTTTTGTAAATGTGAGAAATATATACGAACAATATTATTGAATTGTGTATCTAAATAGTTACATTGAGACCCTATTTATAAACACTACATTGGAATCCTTTTCCAACTAGGATTCCTATTCTTATTCCTATTCTTATTCCTATTTCTATTCTAAGTAGGAAATACTTATTTCTATTCTAACACTCCCCCTCAAGCTGGTGCATACAAATCATATGTACCTAGCTTGTTACAGATGTAATTAATACGAGGACATGTGAGGGACTTGGTGAAGATATCTGCAAGCTGATCATTTGACTTCACAAATTTCGTAACAATATCTCCCGAGAGTATCTTTTCTCTGACAAAGTGACAGTCAATCTCAATGTGCTTAGTCCTTTCATGAAACACTGGATTTGATGCGATATGAAGAGCCGCTTGATTATCACACACAAGTTCCATTTGATCAACTTTGCCAAATTTTAGTTCTCCCAGCAACTGTTTGATCCAAACTAGCTCACAAGTTGCTGTCGCCATTGCTCGATATTTTGATTTTGCACTAGATCGAGCAACCACATTCTATTTTTTTACTCTTCCACGACACCAAATTACCTCCTACTAAAACACAATATTCGGATGTCGAACGTCTGTCAGAGGATGATCCTGCCCAATCAGCGTCTGTATATCCAATGATATGCTCATGGCCTTGATCCTCAAAGAGTAGTCCTTTACCGGGAGCTGACTTTATATATCGCAGAATACGAACAACTGCTTCCCAATGACTATCACAAGGGGAAGTCATAAACTGACTTACAACACTCACAGGAAAAGAGATGTTAGGTCTAGTCACTGTGAGATAATTCAACTTTCCAACAAGCCGTCTATACCTTTCAGGATTACTAAGTGGCTCCCCCTGTCCTGGAAGGAGTTTAACATTCGGATCCATAGGAGTGTCAACAGGTCTGCATCCCATCATTCCTGTCTCCTTAAGAATGTCTAAGGCATACTTGCGTTGAGAAATAACAATACCTGATCTAGACTGAGCAACCTCAATACCTAGAAAATACTTCAATCTGCCAAGGTCTTTAGTTTGGAAGTGCTTAAAGAGATGTTGCTTCAAATCGGTGATACCATCTTGATCATTACCGGTGATAACAATATCATCAACGTAAACAACCAAATAGATACATCGACTTGGTGCAGAATGCCGATAAAACACAGAGTGATCAGCTCCACTACGAGTCATGCCAAACTCCTGAATTACTGTACTGAACTTCCCGAAACAAGCTCGAGGAGACTGTTTTAGACCATAGAGTGACCTGCGCAATCGACATACAAGGCTACTAGACTCCCCCTGAGCAACAAAACCAGGTGGTTGCTCCATATAGACTTCTTCCTCAAGATCACCATGCAGAAAAGCATTCTTAATGTCCAACTGATGAAGAGGCCAATGACGAACGGCAGCCATAGATAGAAAAAGACAAACAGATGCAATCTTAGCCACAGGAGCGAAAGTGTCACTATAATCTAGCCCAAATATCTGAGTATACCCTTTGCAACAAGGCGAGCCTTAAGTCGATCAACCTGACCGTCTGGACCAATTTTGACTGCATAAACCCAACGACAATCAACAGTAGATTTACCTGTAGGAAGGGAGACAAGCTCCCAAGTACCACTCTTATGTAAAGCAGACATCTCATCAACCATAGCCTGCCTCCATCCAGAATGAGAAAGTGCTTCACCTGTAGTCTTAGGAATGGAAATAGAGGACAAAGACGACACAAATGCATAATGGGGTGATGATAGACGATGATAAGTTAGTAGTGGTGGCACTACAACTGGAGATGTAGAAGTAACCGTAGATTCCTCAAAGGTTGGAAGAGATTGTGAATAAACAAAATCGAATAAAAGTGATTTATTACCAGAGATATGATCAGAAGCCCCAGAGTCCATGACCCATGTTCCAAGAGTACTAGATTGCGACACACAAGCAAAAGAATTACCCGCAACAGAGACATCAGGTTGTGCAACCGAAACTACTTGTGGAGACGTTTGCTTATTTGCACGATACTGAAGGAACTCATCATATTCTGTCTGAGCAATATGAGCATTATTGGATGGTTGATTAGGTTGAGCACCATATGCTACTGGTGGAGATGTCTGTTTACTTGCGCGATTTCGAAGGAACTCATTATATTCCTTTAGAACAATAGGATCATAACTGGGTGGTGGACCATGCAAAATATAACATATATCACGAGTGTGTCCAGGCTTATGACAATGACTACACTTGGATCGAGGTTTCCCAAAACGCCCTCCCCCTTACCGATTCTCCATAGATTGATATGTACGCTTTTCAAAGGTTTGAGATGCGAGAATAGATGAGTCAACAGTGGGTGATGAAACTACCTTGTGACTGGGAGGTGCCGCAAGACGAAGGAGACGAGAGAATAATTCATCGATTGTAGGAACTGTAGGGCTAGCTAAAATCTGATCACGTACAGAACCATGATCAGGAGGAAGTCCAGCAAGAGTAAGAACTAGAAACAATGTTTGTCTGTGTTCTTGTTGTTTTTCCACATTCGTAATAACTGGCATCAATGTGTCAAATTCCTCCATGACTGCCTGTACCTGTCCCAAGTAAGTAGACATATCGGATTCTTGTTTCTTTAAGTTGGTCAATCGAGATATCACATCATAGAATCGAGATATGTCATTAGTGTATAAAGCACGAGCCTTTTCCCAAACTATATAACACGTCTGGAATGGGCGAAACAAGGGCATCAACTTGGAATCAATAGAACGCCATAAGAGACTACATAATTGAGCATCTACTTTCTCCCATTGTGCTTTGGCTTTTGCATCTTCCTCACTAGTCTTTGCCTTTACATCTACCTCATAAGCCTTGTTCGTTAAGTGATCTTGGACACCTTGACCCTTGCACCATAGCTCAACCGAGGAAGCCCAAGATAAATAGTTTGAACTTCCCAATAAAAGTTTTGAAGTGATTATAGGGCTAGAACTTCCAATCCCCATATTTTTGGAACCAAAAACATCACACCCAAAAGACATTATGCTAAATTTGTCTTGGAAACAATGAAACAAAACTTGATTATTGAGATCTGATTGTCGAAAAATTCAAATCTCGAAGAAAAGTCGCCGGAAACTGCCTGGAAATAGCCGGAACCCTAATTCCGGCGATCAGTTCTGGTCAAAAACAGTATGGGCCTGGTCGGAATGGTTGGGCAACCCCAACTGTCAAAAAAAATCTCAAAAAATATGATCAGAAAAGCCCTCACGCGCCGGTGCGTGAGACAGATCTCGCCGGAAACTACCACCTCCGATTGGCGCGTGAGAGCGCGTGGGGTGATGTTTTTCGGTGGTTTTGGCTGGGGTTTGGTCGCGGGGGCTTTCCGAGCCTAGTGGTG